ACGGACTAATGCTGACTTAAAGAAAGAAGCAGAGAAACGCAGCAGAAGATAAAATGGACATGTTGACATTTCTGAAACAAAAACTATCCAACTGCTGACGATTTCTTCTATCTGACGTCAAGAAGAAATATAAAGATACATTCAATATTGTGAAAACTTTTGACATACTGACAGAAGAAATAGAAGCTACAAAACTGTTTAAAGTCATGAACCATCGCAACATATACCATGTAAAACGCTTGTAAATAGTTATGTTAGAAAAGTGGTTAGAAAACGTGTTAGATCTAACATGCTAACATAAAATATATTTTTATTGAATTCTGTATAAAATTCTGAGTAAAATGACATATGGAACATATACATGTAAAACGCTTGTAAATAGTATGTTTTTAGAAAAGTGGTTAGAAAACGTGTTAGATCTAACATGCTAACATAAAATATATTTTTATTGAATTCTGTATAAAATTCTGAGTAAAATGACATATGGAACACATACCATGTAAAACGCTTGTAAATAGTTATGTTAGAAAAGTGGTTAGAAAACGTGTTAGATCTAACATGCTAACATAAAATATATTTTTATTGAATTCTGTATAAAATTCTGAGTAAAATGACATATGGAACATATACCATGTAAAACGCTTGTAAATAGTTATGTTAGAAAAGTGGTTAGAAAACGTGTTAGATCTAACATGCTAACATAAAATATATTTTTGTCTGATTTACGCTCATTACGATGAAGTCTTGACAAAACATATACGAAGAAGTTTATTTCCTGTGTTGTTGTCAAAATGTCATGTTGTCACCATTTTCAAAAAGATGTTAGTTGACCGAGTGACCGAGTGACCTGGTGACCCTCATGTAAATAGTTATGTTAGAAAAGTGGTTAGAAAACGTGTTAGATCTAACATGCTAACATAAAATATATTTTTGCTGAAAAAAATGACCAAATTTCATGAATTTCCTCATATGTTTGCTACCCGAGGAAAACCGAGGATAGAGATTCCATACGAAAATCGTGAAAAATTGCGAGTACGGACAAAAACGTAGTCGCCTAAAACTCATGAAAATCGTAAAAAAATGACCAAATTTCATTATATAACTGTTATTCCTTTTGATATAGTTTTAGAATCTTCACCAAAACAAATGGAGAAGTCATTAAATGTGCATATCTACTACGTGCTTTTTCAAAATTACTTTTTGCATTTTCAGTTAAATTGCAGAAGTTATAAACGTTATCGTATGCTTCATTAATCAAATGATTCAGTAACGAATTAATTGCTTGAAACAGTGTGAATAATGTAACTTCTTTTTCTAAATTCATATTTCCACCATCATTATGTACTTCAAAATCACTAATACCATCAACTATGCTCTGGGCAAGTTTATCGTCAATGTTTACATCTTTGTTTTCATTCATGATAGTCTTTATTTCTTCGTTCTTCTGTTCAACTCTTACCTTAATATTCAAATCATTTAATATATCGTTTACGGTTCTAGTTAATGTTGAATCATAACTTCCACGAATGAATGAGTATGTTTTTATTGGTTCTGTTGCATTCTTGCGAACTCTTGAATCAGCCATAACTACTAATGAACGCTTTGAATCATCCATAGAAGTCATGATATCAATATCATAATCATTGCAGGAATAACATTTAATCATTCTGTTCGAAACTGCATAGAAGAAATTAGTGTTGCAATAAATGTGAAGACCTCCTGAAGCGGTTTTAACGATAACATCTTTATCCGAAAGTTTTGATAAAATGTCTTTTCTAACTGTTTCTTTAAGTTCATCATTGTACGATTTATTGATATCAACATCTATAACCGTTAAATTCGAAATTTTATTTACTAATAAAGCCATACCAGTTTTCCTTCCTCTGCCTCCATCGTGTTTGAGATAGTTATGTAAATCAATCTTGTTTTCACCAATTCTTTCGTTGAGGGTTTTAGTTTCTGCCACAACTAATTCCTCAGCTAATGAATCAATAACTTTTTCATCAGAAACGATATAGTTGCTGTTGTTGTTTGTTGCTGTCATTTATATAGGAATAAAAAATAAAAAATAAATTTAAAACTAACTTTATTTTTTGGCTGCATCAAATTTCCAGGACTGTTGTCAAAATGTCATGTTGTCTCATTTTTTCAGAGAAGTTAATTAACCGAGTGACACATGGTGACGTAGTGACACCTTCAGTTCTTCAAAAATAATTCATTTTTGCCTTCCTCCTATGTTGTTGTCAAAATGTCATGTTGTCATCATTTTTCAGAGAAGTTAATTGACATGGTAGCACATGGTAACACGGTAGCACCTTCAGTTCTTCAAAAATAATTCATAAATGCCTTCCTCCAGTGATGTTGTCAAAATGTCATGTTGTCATCATTTTTAAAAGAAGTTAATTGACCTGGTAGCACATGGTAACATGGTAGCACCTTCAGTTCTTCAAAAATAATTCATAAATGCCTTCCTCCAGTGATGTTGTCAAAATGTCATGGTAGCACATGGTAACAGTGAAAACATTAACGTAAACATTAACATAACCATTAACGTAAACATTTCTTTCCAGTGATGTTGTCAAAATGTCATGTTGTCAGTAATTTTAAGAGAAGTTAATTAACCTGGTGACATGGTAACATGGTGACACGTTCATAATTTATGAAAACATTAACGTAAACATTAACGTAAACATTTATTTCCTGGACTGTTGTCAAAATGTCATGTTGTCATCATTTTTAAGAGAAGTTAATTAACCTGGTGACATGGTGACGTGGTGACACTGAAAACATTTATGACAAAAATAAATGGTACCATTAATGATATCATGACTGTTCTCATTCATGTCTGATTTACATCTAATGAAAAAGTTTAGAAGAATTTTCTTATTCTTTCTGGCTTATTTTTGTCTTTCCAGTACTCCCGCTCTAATGGTCCCAGATGTGTTGACTTTGACTCTCTCAAGTTCTTAGATGGTATAACATCTTCAACGCCTCCTTCATATCTTACTTTATAAGTGTCATCGTTTATGTTATAGCCAAGTATTTCAATAACCACTCCTCGCTTTGCTTCGTCAATGGTTTCAGCAAGTTTGCCATTACTACTTTCAACTAATTTATGTCGAGGGTAAAACGCAATAGAGTCGTCAGTAGCTTTTATAAGATATCCATTACCTTGCGTAGAGTCTACGATATAATAGTTTCTACTTAACCTTAAACGTTTCTTTGTCAACGGTTTGTCGTCAAGAACTACACGAACTTTTGTACCAGGAATGAGGGTAAATTGTGTTGAATTTCTGATATTTTGTGTTTGGCTTCGTTTCTTTTGTATATACTTTTCTTCTTGTTGTTGTGTCATTGAATTTGGTGTATGTCCTGTTGTAGAATGTGTTGAGGAATTATATACTTCGAGAAAATGTTTCATTGTTTTTCGGTAAAGTCTCGCTCTTGATTTAAATCTCTGAGCGTTCTTATGAAGCGGTTTATGATGCCGAGTATGTTATGGTTATGGTCTTCAGTAGTGTAGTGAGTTATGTTATGCTTAATGAGAAAATCTGTGATTTCATTGCTGAGGTATGCACTGTCTTTGTCTGATGTTAAAGTACTTGGGCTATGTTCTGCTACAAACTTTTGTAAAACTCTTAACACTTCCGAGTTCCTTTATTTTTCATTATATACGCAAAAGCTTTACGAGTGTTAACATTAATGAAGATGAGGAATGGTTTTGTCCTCCTTTTCTGCTTTGAATGAGAGTGTCAAATTGGTATGCGTCAGGAGTGTTGGAGTAATTTGGTAAAAAGTAGTCGTAAGGGTTTATTTTTGTTTGATGTACAACATTTTTTGTCAAAGAACCTTTCACTTCAGTTCTGTTAGTAAATCCCCAACTCTTTGCAGCTTCATTGAACTTCTTAAATGACCTCCATGGATGTTGTTCGAATACTTCTTTTCAAGCTCATTTATGTAAAGTTAAAGATTTTATTCAAGGCTCAAGCGCGTTCAATGAACTCTATACCATGCGAATACAGTCATAAATGGTGGCATATAATCTGCACCCGAGCCTGTTGGATTGTTGTGAAAGTGTGTGAATGATTTCCTGTGGTTCCACAGAAAATAACCTGCGCTTGAATCTACTGGGTCACTTGAATATCATATCTATTCATTCCCTGTCTATCCGAACCTGCTGCAAGATTTGTATAACCTCTTTTTGTTATTGAATGTGAATGACTACCTGTTTGTGTTTGTAGTTCCTGTATGAGTGGTGCGGTGGAAGGTTTGCTTCTTTAATTTTCTTCGAACCTCCTGCGTCTTTGAATATCTAGCACAGTATAAGAATTTGTCTACAATCTGCTTCCATTCACCAAAACCTAAAACACTTGCTGGATTTGTTGAGTTCATTGACGTAAATAGAAACCAACAGGATATAATGTTTGAAAGTATTTCAGTCTTTAATGTTTGAAGCTCTGTTTTTGTCTGCTTTCTTATCTAAACATTGCTGGTAGTTCATGTGTTTCAAAGTTTCTGGCATGATCTTCAATGTTCATACATCTGTTATCTAAATTGTTTAGTGTATCTTTTACGCTTGTACTTGGATTCTCTAAAGGTGCACTTGAACCAAAGGTATAGTTCAATATTATGTCGTCTGCTCTAACAGTAGTGAAGGATTTATGTGTATTTTCTTTGTCAGCTTTCTTATCTAACATTGCTGGTAGTTCATGTGTTTCAAAGTTTCTGACATGACCTTCAATGTTCATACATTTACTATTTAAGGAGTTTAGTGTATCTTTTACGCTTGTACTTGGATTCTCTAAAGGTGCACTTGAACCAAGGGTATAGTTCAATATTATGTCGTCTGCTCTAACAGTAGTGAAGGATTTATGTGTATGGTTCTTGTCGGCTTTACTGTCTAATGTAGCTTGAAGTTCATTTATATCGGAGATGTTGTGTTTATGAGATTTCAAAACTTTGTTCATTGCTTCAAGTTCAACTTTGTCAGCTTTACTTTTAATAGCATCTTCAAACGTTATTTTTGACTTAACTCTCAAAGTAAATCTTGGTTCAACTAATACACCGTTAACATTGAAAGTAGAGGCATAAATTTCATCGTTATAACTAAATGCTTCTTGTGCTTTACCTGTGTCATACTGTACAGTACAGCTTATGTCATAACCTTTAGCACGAATGTATTTATATCTTCTTTCATTAACATTTTTTGTCTTCGCTTCATCACTTCGTGTTAAATATCCATGGTAGTCCGTTATAATCTGTTCGTCTGAAGTTATATAATGAACGTGGTTCTTGACTTTATCACTCAGAGCTAAAAGCTCATTTTTGTCTGCTTTTTCGGCTAATTTCTCATTAACATCATTCACTTCTAATTCAACTCTTCCGCCAGAACTCTTATTATCATTAATCTTTTTCATTAATTCGGTAATTACGTCATAAAGACTATATTCTGTTTTCGGTTTTGTAAATAATGAGTCAAAATTTCTTTTCATCATTACATCGCTGACATTAATGATATCACCAATTCCTTTTTCATTTATTCTCTGCATTAATTCTGCAATAATGACGAATATATAATCTGTTAATTTATTCTCTTCATCGAGGGTTATAGAATGTTTTGAAATTGAATCATTAACTCCTCTAAATAAATCAATAACTTCAGGATACACGTTTTTAATGTCTCGAATAACCCGACCAGTATCCTGTTGTTCATGTTCTTCGTTCCCGTCGTTACGTGGTTTTATATCTCTAACCATCATCAACGCAGCCATAACCGGAGGGTTTGTTGCTATCTGTTCGAAAATCCGTCCGTTATGTACGGTATATCTAAATAATTTCTTTGTGTTTGTTAAAACATTTGAAACAAGTCTTTTAAAACCATCTACAAAATTTCCCGTTTCACCTAATGTTCTTGCAGCATTTACAAGCTCACCCATTCCCGCTTTTGACCCCAAAAACGTCCATATTGCATTTATTTCACTCTGTATAGTTGTCCATTCAGCGAAACTAACACCCGCATTCGCTAAGCTGAAAATGAAATTCAGTGGATCGAACTTAATTCCACCTTCTTTTTCAATTTCAACGAACTCACTAACATGAGATTTTAAGTATTCTTTCGTTAAAATTGTTTTCCCCGATGTTATGTCATTAACGAAACTATCACCGTCAAAAGTTAACGAATTCAATTTCGTCGTTGATGCTTTTATTTCATACACCGCTTTATCATAGTTTTTGGCTCACCTTCTTTAGAAGCATATGAAACATTAATGAATGAATTATATGTATTCGTGAATGAATTAAAATCAATGATTTTCATTAATGACGCCTTTAATGATTCATTTACTGTCGAATCCCTTAAAGTAATTAATGAACTGTCATTTATGAAAGGTACACTGCAAACCGTCGAGTTTGGATCAAATGCTGTAGTTGGTGCAGGAATATTAATGATATAAGTCATTAAATCATTAAGTGACGTAAATAATGTTGTCGTTTTTGATTTAATTTCTTTAGCATCTGTTATATATGGTAATTTTATTTCTGTAGTTTCTGAATTAAAGATATTCGCTAAAATGTTTTGTAAACTGTTTTGAACAGCTGTGTAAACCGTTGAATCCGGAACTCTTACGATTTCACCGTCCTTAATAAAAGGCATTGCACATGGTGTAGTGCTTGGGTCAAATCTTTTTGGGTTATGATTCAACATATATTCTAATGCTTCATAAACAGACCTATATACTGTTGTTTATCTTTTTCAATAATTTCACCGTCCTTTATAAACGGCATAGTACATGGAGTTAAAATAGGGTCAAACTTTTCATAGTCCTTCCATGTTATGTATTTCTCAGTATTTCCATCAGTGATAACAATATATTTGTCAGTAAGTGTGAGAGAGTATTGACCAAAATATAAACGTTTAGCTCTGTCAGCTTCATACGCATATGCAGCTATACTCATATTTTAATGAGAATAAAATGTTGTTCTATTTGCAAAGTACAGACCCAAACGAATACGGGACAGTAAAGCTACAAACAAACTTAGGTCTACAGAATGAGGCGCTTGCATTCAGAATGGTTGACTTCAATACTATCGCTTCATTCGTTATAACAGATGAAACAGATTTCATGGAGATTGAAATAGATGGAAAGAAGCACGAAATAAGATTTCACAATAATGTAAAATATAAGATGGAAACATTAGCTGGAGTGTTAAATGCTCTCATAAATACTACAATAAACAAGGATAACGAAGAAAACTTAATGAATGTTAAACTTATTGCAGGAGTTTTGAAGTTCAGTTATGTGAAGGAGTTTAAGATAACACGAATGAGTCATAGAGTACAACTTCTTTTGGGTGCATACCATATGACATTTCCTTTGAAAAGTGTTGACAAAACGATTGAGATGAAATCTGTTCCATACGTATGTTATGGTAATTGTTTATACATTGAGTCTAAAATAGCTAATGTCACAGGCATTTCAGGAGTTAATAGTAAAGGTTCAGTAGAGTATAAATCCTTCTGTTATGCAGTCAATTCAATGTTCATTCCAAACGTTCCTGTCATAGCAACTCATTTAGGTAAATGGGTTCGCATTAGTCCTCATAATTTGAAAGACATGCAATTCAGACTTGTTGACTTTCAAGGAGAGCCTGTAGAACTGAAGGCACCAGTGCGAATGACTGTTGAAGTTGACTTTTTAGAAAATATTAAATGCAACAGCTTACAAGAGAACTCAGAGCTAAAAATATAAAGTATGAATGTTATGTATTAGGTCATGAACTTTGGTTGTTGCTGTTTGATGAAACAAATGAATTAGTTATGTCAGTCAAGAGAACAGAAAAATATTGTGTTAGTGAAAACTGCACCAAGTCAATAAGATTAGGTTTGCATTATGAAGATGAGTTCGATACTGTTGAAGAAGTTTTGGATAGATATTACAAATTGCTAACTTGAAATTTTTTGACTGACGGCGCAAAGCGCCAAGACCGAGGGTCCTGACTGCTTTAATTTACTAAAACATATTTCAAGCAAAGTTTATATTCTGTTGAAAGTTTTGTATATTCATTCGAATATTTATACTTAAACTCAACTCCTGTAGTTCCTGGTGTTTCAATGATGCGGATGTTACCTATTTTCATGAATATTGGCGTTTGACCACAGCATTCGATTTCAGGGTCGAGATAGTCAATGACACATTGTTTCCCTGTTATTCGTGAGATAACATTTTCAAGGTCCTCCTTTGTTAGAATTATTTGGTTCTTGCTTATAAGATTTGTCAAAAGCTTCTTATCGTCTTTGAGTAAAATTGTTTGGTATAACTGAAGAAGGTAATGGTCTACGTTATCTGAAGGATTTGTTTGAACATTTGTGTAAGGATTGTCGTTGGCTTCTCTTGAAAGAATTTGGTCCAGTGGTGGATACTCTAACTTAACATCTGATGTAGCGTTAGCGTTTGAAGCTGAGTTTAAATTCACGGATTTCAGCTCTGGTTCTGGTTCTTTCCAACACTCTGAACTATAGTTCTTTATGACAATATTGTTTGTCGTTCGTGAGTCAACATTTGATGTTGGTTCAATTGGAACATTAACGGCACCAGCTAAGATGGATTTGCTTCTCATTTCATATAGAATAAAAACCTTTTATATGTATGAAATGAACAATATACTCGACAAGGGTTTGAATGTAAAGCTAACGAATGAAAATATTGTTGAATTCACTGAGACAGGAGCTGTGTATAAAGATGTAGAACTACTGAACAAAAGAGCTAAGGGAAGAAGCAGGAACATGAACAAAGGGTGGAAGCCTATAAAAATTTATGTCAATGATGGTTCAGGAGGTTCAAACATAAAGTATGCAGAAAGTTATAGAGTTTATGCTCTCAAAGGTGAAAAGCCTTCATTTAAGAACAGCTATTCTAACGCATATCCTCAAAAGCTAACGGATGGGGAAGTGGATGATATGAATGACAGCAAAAATATTAACAGAAATGGCGACAGAGATGCATGGAATTTGTTTACCATCAGTCAATTGAAGGTTAAACTTTAAAACAATGTTGGTCGTTCCCATGGAATATTTTTGACTTTAATGGTATTAGTCATGATATGAATCTCAAGGTATGAACGAGGAGATATGAGAGACTTATATGCTTCCCAAATTTCTTCAAAAGGTAATGTTATACCTGACTGTTTCCAAATGAGTTCAATATCATAACGTGAGAAACCTTGAAAGATAACGAAGTCAGTTATGAGACGTTTTATGTTTAAAGCTAAAAACCTCCATGTTTGCATAAGTATTGCTACAGTTAAATGGTAATGTCTGACTTTAGTTATGATGTTAGCTAATGGTGAGTCTGGTTTTGACACTAAACCTTTTCCGGCGAAGTCGTCGCAAACGAGCAGAGTGTTTGAAGGATACTTTTTGAAGGGGTATTTTGAAAGTTTTGACAGAATGTAGTTTGTAAGTCGTTTCATATCGTAAACTCCTGAGTACTGACGTAAGTGGTGTTTGTCAATAATTCTTTCCATCTCCTCAGAAGTCTTTTGCATTCCTGACTGTATAAATTCAACGATGGCATAATATTTCCTCTTACGTCGAATGTAACGTTGAAGAAATTCAATGAGTTCACTGTCTGGAACTTTAACGACAGAGGCTTGAACTTTTGACATAAATGTCTTCGCTGTTGAATCCATTGAATCTGAAGTTGCTGATATAATGATTTGGTCATAGTAAGAGTCGTTTCCTAAACGCTCTGTTATGAGTATATGACGAATGAGGTTGAATGTCTTACCTGAACCCATCTTTCCACAATAGAAATAAACGCCATTTGAACAGAACTCATAATCTTTGCTGAAAGGAAGAATAAGAGAAGAGTTAAGTTTGTCTGTAGTTTCATTCATGTCTTCATCTACGTCATGTATTAAATGCTTCATTTTATCTCCATTAAAAATGCAAGTCAGAAATATTCAGAACATAGCACCGAGTCTAACTGACAAGAGTATAAAGATATACTATGAACATATTATGATGAAACCAACCAAAATTCAAGAAAGTCAGTATACTTATGAATATCCAAGACACTGGGTAGAGTATGTAGGAGGTGAGAAAGCTATTGAAATCAGACAGGTTCGAAGTATTCCAGCAGGAAGAACAATATTATTGAAGAACTTTAATGTTTTGAGGTATAATGATGAAACAAAGAAGCAAGATAGTTTCCCTGTTGCTGTGTATGTGAACTTAGATACAGGAGATGACATGAAAGTTTTTAATACAAAGCTTCAAACGGTAGTGAGAGAACAACTGACTGCGGAAGGACATCCATTACCTTCAGAAGTTACCATAACATATAATTTTGAAACAAACTCAATAGATTTTAAAGTCATCTCTGCAAAGAAGTCAGGTTTTACATTTAATGAAGCAGATGTATATTCGAATGAAAACTTCAAAGCTATTGCATGGTTAGATAATGACGATTGCTTTAAGAAAATATTTAAATACAGTGACTCAAAGATGTCAATAGATGACCTTCGTGGAATGTTACCATCGACGTTTACAGTAGAAGGTTCAGCAGGATTGCTTACAAGATTGTCAATTGGTGGTATTTGGTCTCGTGAGAACATTGTTATAAAATCCAGTATAAGTGAATTTGCCGAAGAATCTATATTATGTCTTTCAAACTACATGTATTCGCCGCCGAAGCATTATAGTATAACAAACTTTGTCAGTAAGTTTAACATAAGACTTGTCGAACCTTCTTCAATGAAAGATGTTGTGCTACCTAAAGATGGAAAGGATGGACTCATTATTGAGATGATTTTAATAGCATATTAAATGAGCTTGTTCTTGAAGGTCATTCATGATGAAATAACTGTTGTAGAAGATGTTAGCAATTGTTCAGACATTTTGAAGCGTATAGATGATATAAGAAATAAGTTAGATAGACCGCAAAGCGGTGAGGGCGAAGCCCGTGAGAACGCTTATGTTTCATTGACTTTCTCCAGTAACGAGAACTTTTATGAGATAATATTGAAGAGAGATGATTTTAATATGGTGTAAATGGTAGCTTGGGCAGCTTTAGGCGCAATGGGAACAAAAGCATTAGCATTTGGAGCAAAAGCACTTGGAGCTTATGACGCAGTAAATAAAATGAGTGGAGGAAGGGTTTCAAAGACATTAGATGCAAATAAAGGGAAGATTGGAGGCTGGGTTGCAAAGAAGTTAAGATTAAATAAAATAGGGCTCATAAATAAAGCATCCAATTTGGTTGCGACTGAGTCAGAAAATGCTTTAGGAAAGGACGATGAGTTTGCAAAACACGCAAAAGACTTTAATGACCAGATGAAAGGTGAAACAATGCATTTAAATAGAGTCGATGGAACTAAAGAAAATGTTTCTTCTCCACCAGTAGTTCTTCCGTATGGTCCCTATGGAATGTATGGAAACCCTTACGAAAGACCATTTGACCCATTGACTGGTGGAAGTAACTGGTATCATTACGGCCGAAGAAGAAAGACAGTCAAGTTGGAGACAGACGTGAAGAAAGCAACTAAAAAGAAACCAAGGAAGAGAGTTATAAAGCAATGAATTCAACAGGGTGAAAAAACAGGTGAAAAAAGAGGTGAGATCTCACCACTTCACCTAAATTTATTTTTGTGCTATGTTTTCATACGTGTGGGAGTGGTGATATCATTAATTTTTAAGTTTATTTTTTATTTTATTTTTTATTTTATTTTTATATAAATGACGAAAACTATTGAGATAACAAACTACAACGGTCATGAGTTCAAGAATTTGTTCTTCGTTCCTCGTGAAAATACATTCTATCAGATACGAGGGAGAAAGGGTAAAGTTAGTTTGAGCGTTTATGAAGGAATGAAGAATGGAAAGTTTATACAAGCATACGATACAAACGGTAAACGTGTTTCATTAGCTTTGTCAAAACTTACTAACATTCATTATGACAGTGATTTTGACCTATATGAAGAAGAAAGTGAGTCAGAAGATTATGAGCTGTTATATGAAGCACAGCAATGGGAGGAGTTGCAATACTTTTGTAAGTGAGAACGTTTATTTTTTACATTAGTGAGGTGAAGTGGTTGGTGGCTTTGTAAATATTTAAGGTTAAGTTAGTGTTGCCGTTTGTGTTGTAAAATATACGTTAACGGTTTTGTAAATATTTAAGGTTAAGTGGTGTACGGAGGCGCGCAGTGCCTCAGTACACGACTTAGCCATACTAACTTCGCTTAACAATCGGTAAGACTGCATTAACAGGAGCACACACTAAGGCTGTATGTTGTGAAAATGGATGTTGTATGCCATTTATTTAATACAGTTTAAAAACGTAGGGGTTGAGTCATGAATTTAAAATTTTATTTTTAATAAAATGCCACAGAAGAGACAAAAGGAACCGTTAATGATGTGATTCAATATGTAAATAATGGTTTTGATACTATGATTCAAAGAGGTGGGCACCCTTAAAACATTTATTTTATTTTTATATAAATGGATAACGCAGATTTAGAAAATTTAATTTATGATTTAGTACTTAATCAAAATTTTCTTAATTATTATGAATTAAAATCATATCTCCAAAAACATAATAAAAATATAACGGGTGATGATATGGATTATTATTATTCGTATTATAAAAATGAAATTTTGAAATATCATGATAAAATAATTTCTAAAATTAAAGACAAAATTAAAAATAATGAATATACAAAGGGAAAAACTAAATCACAACTTAAACAATTGAAAGATTTCAAAAATAAAGTATTAACAGAAGAAGATATTGATGAATTATATAAATTATATAATCCTGAGCCGCAAAAGCCAAAGGAACAAAAGCCAAAGAAGAAAAAGCCGAAAACAACACCAAAAGAGAAAGTAGCAAATGTTCAACAGCTAAAGGTGCAAAACGCCCAGGTCCTTCAGACCATAAATGATGCACAAGCTTTAATTTATGATTCATTAGTTAAACCATATTCAGCCCGACTTTTAAATGAAGATCAACTTTTGGAATTCATCCTTCAACATAAACTCGAAGCGGGAAAGTATATCAAACCTTTATATACAGCATATTTAAAACAAATGAATAGAATACATCCAGAATTAATGAAAGGAGGAATGAAATCCAAAACTTCATCATCCAAAATCAAAGCAGATAAAATTAAATCACTTGCAATACCAAAACCTCCAACGGTAGTACCTCCTCCTTCAGTTAATCCTTCATCATTCACTTTATTATATCCATTTCAAACATTAAAGAAGCAAAAAGATTTTAAAAAGGATTTCAAAATATTAAATAAACCAATTGACCCAAAAATTCAACCGTTAAAGGAAAAATTTAGTCGCCCTTCATTTGCACCATATCCATATTCATACGAAATCGATCATTTAGAATATTCAAAAGGAAACGTTACTTATTTATTTGCCATTAACATTAACACCAGATATTTATATTGCATTCCGGTGAAAGGGAAAACAGAACAGGAAACAAGAAGAGCTATACAATACTTACTAGATCATGAAAGAGTAGATAATATCAGGGGTGATGGTGATAAAGGATTTCAGGCAGCTATGGCTCATTATTTCCCACAAATTAATTTTTTCTTTTCATCCTCTCCATATACGTTTCATAATAAAATAGTTGATGCGGTAATGAGAACTCTTAGAGATGCGTTAGGGGTTAACGGTCAGATATACTGGGATGGAAATCATGACTCCATCATACAGCAGTTAGTATATTATTACAATAATACATGGCATAGAACTATAAACATGAAACCAGTGGAAATGAAAAATGATATTTCAAAAGAATGGGAATATATTAGAAAGCAAATGGAAAGGTTAAATGATGTTAAACGTGAACAAATTAATTCAGGGCTCATGAATTTTAAACAAGGGGATAAAGTTTTGATTCATCTCGATTATGGAAAAACTAATAAATCAATGACAAAAAGAAGACGAACATTTGACACAATAGCTGAATTTGTTAGATATATTAACGGTAATGTATTAGTTGAAGTTGACAATAAATTAATAGAAATTCCGATTTATTTTATTACCCCATTATATTTAAATAATATTTAATTTTTTTATTTCGTAAGAAATGAGTGACAACAAAGCATCCAAGAGTCCTGATTCAATTAAGATTCAGAGTCCAGACGATGAATATAAAAAGAAACTAAACAGAATTAAATCAAAAATATGCTATTACAAAAAGAAGCCGCAATGCGGTGGGGCTGAAAACGATAAAGAGAGGAAAGAAATAATCGAAAAATTAGAAACTTACCGTTCAATCCTTAAACTGAGTGAAACAAAAATAAAAGAATTTAATAGAATAAATAAATTGATTGGAAGAGATGAATTTAATAAAGATGAATTTTTAAACTCAATCCAAATTTAATTTTTTCAGTGCTACCATGTTACCATGTGCTACCATGTCAATTAACTTCTCTTAAAAATGATGACAACATGACATTTTGACAATAACACAGGAAATAAATGTTATCGTTTATGTTTTCATTCATGATTTTAGGTTATTCAATAATTAATTATTTTTGAATAACTGAAGGTGTCACTACGTCACCATGTGTCACCAGGTTAATTAACTTCTCTTAAAAATGATGACAACATGACATTTAGACATCACAGCAGGATTAATGCAAAAATAAATTCAAACTTCATCGTATATGCTTTGTAAATGTCTTACAAACACGGATGAATATCTTATGCGGTGGGAAGCCAGATGGAAATAAATTTACGTCAAATATGCAATTTATAAAATCTTATGTCGACAGGCTACGTAGCACAGTGGTCTAAGGTGGTGTTATGGAGGGGTCAGGGTCTGTGGTTCGAACCGCGACAGCGCCGTATTTTCTGATTTTCTTTGTTTGTCTTGTTTGTCGTGAATAAAAAGTGTCATAAAAGTGCTCTATCTTCCACGGGAATAAATAAAAAATTTACTTTATTTCTTCTTTATTTCTTTGTTCCCGTGGAAGAAGGGTTTTGCTGTTTTTTCTCAGCCGAAATCAATGATTTTTTCATTTTTGGAATCCTTAGCGAATGAGGAATCTTTTCTCTCGTGGAAGCTTTGACCAAAAATATATTTTAGGTGAAGAGGTGAGATCTCACCTGTTTTTTCACCTCTTTTTTTCACAAGCGTTTTACATGAATTGTACGATGTATATTTGAAATCCTAAACAATTTCGTAGCTTCTATTTCTTCTTTTAGTACATCGAATGTTTTAATCATGCCGAAAGTCTCTTTATATTTCTTCTTGACGTCAGACAGAAGGAAATCTTCTGCTGTTGGATAGTTTTTATTAAGAAATGTCAACATATCCATTTTATCTTCTGCTGGCTTTTCTGCTGCTTTCTTTAAGTCTGCATAGTCGTTTCGCATTCTTTCTATCTCTTTGACTGAGTAGTTATATTTTCTTATTGCTGCTTTACATTTTGAACATTGCGGCATCGTTTTTGCGTTATACATTGAAATAAAACCAGCTAGAACAACTAAGGCGTCAATGGTTTTCTTTAACTCAAAAGCTGCTGGTTTTATCTGTTCATTCCATACTTTACCTCTTCTATCTTTATCTCTTATCTGCCATACACATTTTGCAACTAATGAAACAAAGTTATCGTATGTCTTAAATTCTTCGGATTTGTAAAGGTCAGAAATATTTTTATAAACCATGTCGCAATCTTTGTCCATAACTTTATGGTTGCAATGAAAACCAAGGAATTCATAATTTACTTTACGTATGAATTTCTTAATTTCTACTGAGTCAGTTGCTTTGACTTCAATTTCGTCGAATTCAGGAATAGTTAGTTTTTGCTGCTGAATTTCAGGTAGTTTAGGCAAATGGTCGATGAGGTCCTCCATTTCATAAAGATACTGTTCATTTGTTTCATCTTTCGCACTACAGTCTAAATTACTTGTTAAAAGTTCTTGCTTTATCTTCTGGATTTCTGTTTCAAAAGTATATGAAGAAGGAATAAAGCTTTTCATCTCTACCAACATTGACGTAGGATTCATGACTAGTGAGTTTGGTGCTGTAGTTGTGGCTTGAATTGTTGTTGTGCCGATTGTTGAAATCATATCTTTTATACAAAATAAAAATAATTTTAAAACTAATTTTAAAACTAACTTTATTTTTTCTATCTTAAGGAAATTCATGAAAATTCACGAGAAAGCTAAAGCAATCTGAGCCGCTCAGCGGTGAGGGTGAAAAAACAGGTGAGATCTCACCTCTTCACCTAAAATATATTTTTGGAATTTTGTGAAAACTCAACGGTTTGACACATGCCATATGCCATTTTACTCAAAATTTTGTGCTGAATTCAATAAAAATAAATGGTTCATTTACTCACAATATTTTTGTACAAAACGACCCCAAACTTTTAACTTCTTTTCTGCAGTTTCTAATGCTATCTTAGCGAGTTCATATTCTCTAAATTCTCTCTTTAAATCTTCTTGTTCCCATTGGTCTAGTTCGTATGGAGAATCTCTATAACCATAACATATCTCACGTTCATGTTCTAATTGTTTTTCGCACATTTTTCTAACTTCTTCTTCAAACAAATGTTTAGCATTTTCTACTGTATCTTCGAGTTCTTCTTCATCTAACTTCTCATGAACTTTCTTGTCTATGGAGTCCATAATTTTTCCAACTGCTATGCAATATTTTGGAGAAGCCCACATTGCTATATAGTTTATAAGTCTTGGGTCTACATACCTTCCTCTAACCTGTTTGATTTTATCAGGAATTCCGGCATGAATTTTGTATAAAAAGCAACAGTCCGAATTCCGGCGGTTGCTATATTCTTCACAAAACGCCTTATAATACTCTTCCCAGGACTTATTTTCCAACAACTTTCTAAAGTCTTTCCTAAACTGCTGACACATCTTTGTTGCATTAATGTAACCATCCTTGTCTCTACGTAAGACTTCAATACCATTATAAGTGCCTTTTGTGAATGTTTCGCCATTAGATTTGTTCGTGAACGTCTGTGCTTCGACTGACATTTCTGTTCTTACATACAAAATAAAAAAAATAAAAATAATTCATAAATGCCTTCCTCCTGAACTGTTGTCAAAATGTCATGTTGTCATCATTTTTAAGAGAAGTTAATTAACCTGGTAGCACATGGTAACATGGTAGCAGTGAAATAAAATTTTGTTATCAGTTATTTTATCATCATTTTATTAAGTTCATCTTTAGTTAATAATTTGAATGGATTCGCTAATGTTCCACCTTGAGTCACAACACTTGCCCCGGCTAATTGTGAAGAACCTGGGATAAGTACTCCATGAAATGATTTCATTGGTATCATTAATTTAGAAATAGTTGGCTTAATTAATTTTGTCATTTATGATAAAAATAAAATTGCATAATTTAAATTTTTTTCTTTCTCATTTTCTCATTTTCTCATTTTCTCATTTTCTCATTTTCTCATTTTCTCATTTTTCATCCTGTTTTGGTTTCAGCAACTTTTCAAGTTGTTGTCTTGTCAGTAACTTTAATTTTAACTTTGGATCAAATATTGGGTTTCCATCTTTATCTCTTCCAATAACACCATATGGTAGAATCTTCATTTATACTAAAATAAAAATTTAAATTATGCCGTTCGCTCTTTTGGAGCTCAGGACTTTCAGTCCGTTCTAAAGTTTGTTTCATAAACATTTAGCGTTCATTGAACGCGAAACCATGCGAATACAGTCATAAATGGTGGCATATAATCTTCACCCGAGCCTGTTGGATTTGTTGTGAAAGTGTGTGAATGATTTCCTCCTGGTTCAGTTTGTCGAAAAGTCTTTTTTGTTGAATCGTTATAAGATGGAGATAAAACGTCATAACCAGCTTCATAGTCTGAGTTGTATAATGGGTGGTCTCTTAATGAGTGTCTATGGTCGCCAGAAAAGTTTGTAGTTCCCGTATGAGTGTGCGGTGGAAGGTTTGCTTCTTTAATTTTCTTCGAACCTCCTGTTTGCTTTGAATATCTAGCACAGTATAAGAATTTATCTACAATCCGCTTCCACGTACCAAAACCTAAAACTGTTGCTGGATTTGTTGAATTCATTGACGTATAAATAGAACCAATAGGATATAATGTTTGAAGTATTTCATTTTTCATGCTTGTAATCACATCATTTACTTCCGACTTCTTTGCATAATTTTCATCAACATAAGTTTTATCTGCTTTAAGGTCTAAACATCCTGAAACCCATCCTGTATCAGCTTTAACTTTAAAAGTCTCCGATGTCCATTCCTTATCCGCCTTCTTCTCTAACTCATCGTTAACATAAGTTTTATCTGCTTTAAGGTCTAAACATCCTGAAACCCATTCTGTATCAGCTTTAACTTTAAAAGTCTCCAATGTCCATTCATGATACCATTCAACCTTTTCTTTAATTTCATTATCTTTTTCATCAACATAAACCAAATTTGCCTTCTTCATTAACTCACTATCCACATATTCCTTATCTGCTTTCTTCATTATGTCGTTTAGGAAACCTTCTATGAATTCCTCATTTAAATTAAATCTTCCAATCTTCAAAACTTTAGGAAATGCATTTAATGCGTAATATCTCTGTTTTCTGGTGGAATTGATGTTATATCATCCGTTATTCCTTTAATTTTTGAATTCATAAATAAAATTTCTTTTATATTTGATATCACTGCACCACCTTTGCAACGAATTCGAAATGGTCATTTTTCAATACTATCTCCAAATCTCCATATTTCAACCTTTGCGTTTGTTCTGCCGTCTTTGAATTATATGCATATGTGGCGTATGTAATGGTCTGAAGGACCTGGGCGCTTTGCGCCTTAAGTTGTTGTGGTTGCTGTTGTTTAATCATTTATTATGATTTAAAAATAAATATTTAATCCGTTATCTCATCAGCTATTTTTTCTATTTGAAATTGCCATAATATTTCATTCATAAATTCTAAATCACAATCAAATAGGTCAGTTATTCTAAATTTAATATTTGATAAATCTTTTGAATGAAGAATAAATGAATTCCCGGATAATTGAAACGGATATGATAAAGAAAATGTGTTTAAGTTGATGGATAAAATGTTTTGTATTGATGGGTAAGAGTTAGGGTCTAATGTTTGATGTGAAAATCTCATTGGGGTATTAACTTTATCACATTTGATTAAAATGAAATTGGAACCAGTGTCAGAATACAAAACATCCCCAACATCTTTTTTCAAAATTTAATATCCCCAACAATGAATGAAGATGAGGAGTACAAAATTTAATTTTCAGCGGGAATTTAATAAGGTTATTTATTTCATCAAGTTCAAAAAAGTTTATCAGGTTTTGATTTAAAATTTTCTTCATACCATACGATAAATGATTCATTTAAATAACTTAAAATCATGTTAATATCCCATTTCGCTATCACATTTATTTATATACATATCATACGTTTTTTCATGGTCATCTTTAATAAATGATATATAATCTGAAGGGTCTAAAGAATGGATTAAATTTACCACTCACAGAAACGAGAGTAACATTATAAATTCCGCTAACTGTTAAATTTAATTCACAGTTATTATTCGAAATAATATTGATAATTGACATTTTTATTACGATTAAAAATATGGTAAAGCGTTATTTCCAGTGATAAATAAAACTAGAATAAGATTACCTCAAGAATTCATAAATTCAACGAATAAGAAATTCATTCATGTTATAAATTTTAGTGTTTTCAGAAAATATGAGTCAGTGTCATATTCATCAACAGGTTATATTTCACTTCATTCAAATTTAGTTCAATCAAACCCATATAATGACCATTTCATAAGATTTTCAGATGGTATTAAAAATGTAATTGATAGATTAAAATATGAACAGATTGACAATATCGAATTTTTGGAATTTTGGTTTAAATATCCCGATGGAAAAAAGATTGAAGTTAAAGATAAAGCTGATACTATAACAAAAACAATTACAATGACCGATCCAGATAGTGGGAACAAAAAGAAATAAACAAAACGATAGAAACTGGTGAAAGGTCAATTATTATTGATTATGATTCAAAGGATTATTATTCGATAATGTTAATGCTTGAATATTAAATAGCCTTAACAAAGAATTTTTCAAGTGATATTTTATATTCATCAACTATTTTATTATAAATATCATTATATGTTAAATGAAGTTCAGTTGTGTTGTTCCTTCTTTGATATCTTAATTGTGCTAATATCCTTTATAGGATTTATTTTTGCAACTGTTCCGCAGCATGAAACCTCATCATCTATGAAAAATTGAATCTTAACGTCTGAATCTTGAACATCACAAAGAATGGCGATAATGTGAATTAATGATTCATAAGGTAAAATAATTAAACCGGATTGGTCAATTAAATTTATTATTGAATCATAATTATTAATTATTATATCACGGTAAATTTTCATTAATTCAGAATTAATGTCTATTTTATATGGGTTCTCGATGTTTGATGAAAGAGGTGGGGGTATGTTGGATAAGTGGGAATTTCAACAGGTTCTTTACCGGGTTCAGATAAAATGATTGGGTCTCCATTCTCATGGTTTTCTTCATTCTCCTCATTCTTCGGTAAGTCACGAGTTAATAAATTTGGTTGAGTTGCTGACCTTGTTAATTCGGGGCTAACATTAACTTTAACATTTTGAATAATTCGTGATTTATCATCATTTACGTTATAACCAACCGTAATCTCTGCTTTTGCGTTAGTGTTCTTTTGACTAGTGAAACGTCTTCTCATTTATATTCGAATAAAAAAATATATTTAAACTTTTATTTTGCTGGAACTTTTGAATCTATTATTCCTGTATTTGTTCATGAAGTTGATTTTTAGCTGTTTCATCGTAATTAATGGACCGAA